GGGTTACCGGTTGTTCTGTCTCCTGCTGGGAGCTCCGTGAAGCTGCTTTCTCATACCTCCCATTCACTGATCTCCAATAGGAGGCCAAGATGGTGGATCTGTGCTGCGGTAGCTGATAGGGGACCTCTGTATGTATCTCTACCTGCTGTCTGTTCTCAGTCAGTTTCTTATTCCATTCGGTGCTTGGCTGAGTTCTTTATCTCTTCATTTGACGCTTAGGGTTTCAGGATTGATGTGTGACTGTTTGACTTAGTTTTTCTGATGTTTGCTGTGGAGGGATGGCGTGGTGCTTCTGACTATAGCACCATGTTGCCCAGAAGTCCATTTATATATCTTTTTTGGTAAAATGTCTGTTCAAATCTGTACGTATTGAGACGATCATATACTTTTTTCTCTTTAAATTTATTAATGAAGTAATTATATTAATAGAGATTTTAATGTTGAACTGTCCTCGCATTTTGGGATTAAACCTTCCTTGGTTTATTATACTTCTGTATTTAGTTTGTCACCACTTTATTTAGTATATTTGACTGTAACTTTTTATTTCTTTTGTGCTACACTTGTCTGTTTTAATGTTAAGGATATACTGTGATGGTGGTGTTGTTAGTGGTCGAGTCATTTCTAACTTACAGTGACCCTATGTGTGCAGAGTAGAACTCTCCATAAGGTTTTCAAGTCTGTGACCTTTTGGAAGCAGATTGCCAGACCTGTCTTCTGAGGAACCTCTGGGTGGGTTTGACCCACCAACCTTTTGGCTAGTAGTCAAGCACTTAACCATTTGTGCCACCCAGGGATCTAGGGTTATGCTAGCCCCATTAAAAAAACTAAAAAGTTTTCACTTTTTCTATGCTCATGAACTATTTAAATAATGCTACTGTTGTTATTTGCCATTGAATCAGCCCCTAACTCATGGTGACCCCATGCACAACAGAATGAAACACTGTCAGGTCCTGTGCCATCCCCATGATTTATTGCAAATTGGACCGTTGTGAGCCATAGGGTTTCCATTGGCTGAATTTTGAAAGTAGATCACCAGGCCTTCTTTGGTAGTCCATCTTAGTCTGGAAGCTCCGTTGAAACCTCTTCAGCATCATAGTAACACACAGGCCTCCACTGACAGATGAGTAATGGCTGCGTGCATGAGGTGCATTGGCTAGGAATCAAACCTGGGTCTCCTGCATGGAAGAGGAGAAATCTACCAATAAGCCACTACTTCAATATTAGAAACCACCATTTAAGTAATAGAAATCATCTATGCCTTAGTGGTTTGATGAAATCTCCCCTTAAATTTTTTTTTTTTTTTGGTTGTGCCCTTTTAGGGATAGAGTTTTTATTATGTTTTCAGTTTACACACTAGGTAATTCAAGTTTTCTACATACATTTTCATGAATCAGTTTGAGAATTTATATATTCCTAGAAGATTGTTCTTTACATTGAGATTTTAAATTTTATTGGTGTATATATGCATATTTTATTCACTTATAATTTTCAGATTCTGCTCTATACCTGTGATTATATTCCCCTATTAATTTCTAAAATTTTAGAAGGCAGTATGATGTGGTGTTAGCAATATGGTCTCTGAAGTCACCTGCTAACTCAGGAATCCAGCTCTGCCAGTTACTAGCTAGGTAACCCTGGACAAACAGCTTAACTGCTTTTGTGGCAGTTTCTCCATCTGTGTAGTAGGAATTATGTCATTCATTTATAGAATGTTTTTTTGAGGGCCTGCTTTGTGTCAGACAGTATTGTAGGTATTAGGGATACAACAGTGACAAAACAAGATAAAAAAGTAAAATATCTCATATGTTAGAGATAAGTGTTAAGGAAGAAAAATAAACGGGAGTGGATAGGAAGTATTGACAATGATAATATCAACTTTCTTGTTAGGTTAATGAGAGAATTAAATGAGAAGATATATGTAAAGTGTTTAGCACAGTGCTTGGCACTTGGTGCTCAATTTTTGCTTTTGTAGTTGTAGAAATAATTTTCTCTTGATCAGATTTGTTACTGATTAGTATAGTTCATTGGGCTTTTCAAACAACCAGCTCAAGTGTAATGTTATTTGGTTTGCTTGTTCATTAATTTCTACTTTTATCTTTCTAAATTCCTGCTTTCTTTTGGTTTATTTTTTAACTTCATAAGTTGAATGTTTATTTATTTTTAGCCTTCTGGTTTCTTAATAAATGCATTTAAGGCTGTATATTTTTCTTCTTTGACCATTTCTTTTGCTAGACAGTGTTCTAATTGACATTCGTTTCTTAATAGACTATAATTTTAGTTTTAGCCTTCTTCTTTAACTGAAAGATTATTTAGAAGTGCTTTTGGATTTTTGTAGATAGTTGGGTTGAGTTTGAGTATGGGCTCTTGTGAATGTGTGCTAGTTTTCCCTAACCTTTTGTTTTTTCTATCTGGTCATCTTCATTGTAGTGGGTAATTGTGGCTTATAGGTTTCCAACTTTCAGGAATTGACTGACATTGTCTCTGTTATTGATCAATTTTTATAAATATTTTATTGAGTATTCAAAAAGTATGTATATTCTTCTTTTATTGACCATAAAAATTTCTGCGTGCCATCCAAACTCCCTGAGGGACTGAATTGCTGGGTGGAGGGCTGTGGGGACCATGGTCTCGGGGAACATCTAGCTCAATTAGCATAACAGAGTTTATAAAGACAATGTTCTACATTCTACCTTCGTGAGTAGCGTCTGGGGTCTTAAAAGCCTGTGAGCAGCCATCTAAGATACTCCACTGGTCTCATCCCTTTGGGAGCAAGGGAGAATGGAGAGAAAAGGATACAAGGAAAAGATTAGTCCGAAGGACTAATTGTCCACAGCTACCAAGGCCTCCACCGGACTGAGTCCAGTACAGCTAATGGTGCCCGGCTACCACCACTGACTGCTCTGACCAGGATCACAACAGAGAGTTCTGGACAGAGCTGGAGAAGGATGTAGAACATAATTCTAACTCACAAAAAAAAGACCAGATTTACTGACCTAAAGGAGACTGGAGAAACCCCGAGAGTATGGCCCCCAGACACCCTTTTAGCTTAGTGGTGAAGTCGCTTCCAGGGTTCACTGTTCAGCCAGGGATTGGACAGCCCCATAAAACAAAACAGGACTAATGAGGCACAGCAGTCCAGGGACAAGGACTAGAAGGCAGGAGGGGACAGGAAACCTGGTGATAGGGAATCCAAGGTTGAGTAAGGACAGTGTTGACGTGTAGTGGGGTTGTTATCCATTGTCATAGGGCAACATGTGTACTAACTGTTTAATGAGAAACTATTTTGTTCTATAAACCTTCATCTAAAGTGAGAATACCAGCATAACTGGAAGAGCGTAGTCGATGTCACTGAACTGTGCATGTAGAAATTTTTGAAATGATGTATTTTTGCCTATGTATATTTTCACCAAAAAAAAGAAAAAGTCAAGAAGGGAGAGGGTTGACATGTTGTGGGGTTGTTAACCAATGTCATAAAACAATATGTGTACTACTATTTAATGAGAAACTATTTGTTCTATAAACCTTCACCTGAAGTACAATTAAAAAAAAGAAAAAAAAAATCCAGCCATTATTAAAAAAAAAAAAAAATGTAGTTAAAAAATGAGATACCTTGAGAAGTTTGTTCACTTTTTTCTCAGTGTAATTTGTGCTACCTTGAGAAGGTTGTTTAAGGGAATCCCATTGTGATCACTTTGTAAAGCTAGGAGCACAGAATAGGGGAGTCAGGAGTAGTAAATGGACCCTAGTCCTTACCCTGTGACTAACTGGCTTTTTGATCCACTCGTGTTGTAGGAGCTCTCTTTGTCTTGGTTTCTCATTTAGAAAATGTGGAAAATAATTCATATTCTGTCATAGGAGTACTGTGATGTTATTATTGTTAGTCTTTTGCTAAAGTGATTTATAACCATTTATCTTAGTTTTTCTGTGAATCCAGATTTCCACATATTGGGCTTGCTTTAAATTATATTCACTTAAGGCATTCATTCAGTTCTATTTTTGGAAAAGGACCGAGGTATTGTTGTCTTCTACACAATCTTTGCAAAATCATTTCTTAACAATTTCAAAGGAATAAAGAGTAGTGCATTTAGTTACACAGTTTATGCCATCGTTCCATTAGAACCTAAATGATAGGAGTGAGAATACAGTGACATCAGTTGTTAAGGCCTGTGCATTACTCATTTAACATCTACTGTTGCTTCTTTTTTTCCCTGTAGGGGAATAAATTACAGCACATCAGCACATTTTTCATACTTTGTGTTTAAGCATTTAGAAGTCCTTTATTATTAATATTATTTTATTTCTGCTTGTTTGGCAGCCCCTGAAGTTATCAATGCCCACGACTATAGCCAGCAGTGTGACATTTGGAGCATAGGCGTCATAATGTACATGTTGTAAGTAGCCTGCTAAATGTACAGTTTAAAATGAATGGATAGTCTAACAGTAGGATTACATAGATGTTAAATTAAAACTAACCAATACATTTTTTTTAGCAATACATTTTTTAAAAATTGATTTTAAAACCAATTGGGAAGTGATTCTAAAAGCTCTTATTAGTTGTCAGGTACATCTATTAGGTATTTTTTTTAAAATACTGTAAATTTATGACTTGCAGCTTTACTCTTCTGTTCACCTATAAATGCAACAATGCACTGTATGGCAAGAGCAAAGGGAAAACCTTTCCCCAATGCCTTCCTGATCTCTTGCTACAACTCAAAACCTTCTGTGTATTTTCTCAAGAGATTCATTCATAGCCCGTCAGGTAGAGGGAGGCCTGAGACCTGTCACTAGAGCTACTCCTGTGGACAGGGCATATGTGGGAAGTGGGCATCAACTAGATAGAGGTGCAGCCCAGGATCTAGGGAGTATTTAGAGTTCCTATTTCTCTTAATGCTACTGAAAACCTCAGTCATCCTTGCTCTTCCTTCTCCCTCAGGCTCAAGATAGAGTTAAGCCTCATGTCCTGTTCATTTTTCCTTTGAAATGGCCTCACCTGTTGTTTCATTTCTCTTCACCCTTATCATTTCTCCTTGTGGTCCTTTTTCTAGAATATTTCAGTGCCTTTCTTACGGTTCTCCCTGCCTCCAGTCACCCTCCCCAGTCCGTCGTTCACACTGCTGTGAGAGTTGTCTTTCTTAATCACAAATATTAATACTACTTTCCTTAATCACAAATATATATTCTACTTTCCTGATTAAAAACCTTTGATAATTCCCCCTTGCTACAGAAAAAAGTCAAAGTATTCTGGCGTAGCATGGCATACCAAGTCTTTTGTGACCCAGCTCCAGCATGCCTTTCCAGTATTCTGGTTGGACATGTGTTCTCATGCACCAGCCCTGTGCTGTGGCCACTCTAGGCTACCTTCGTTATGCAAACACACTTGCATTACATGCCTCTGGGTCTTTGCTCATGCAGTTCCTTCTACTTAGAATGTTCTTTTTCTTTTCTAAAAACCTCTCTCCTGGATGGGCCCAGCTCATATGTTAACCTCTTCTATTTCCCTAACTCCTACCCCACCCCAGCAGAATTACTATGTTAGTATGTCCTTCCCACACTCCATAGAGGATTTAAGGAAGCTTTAAAAAATGGATATAACATAGTAACATTCAAAGAAAAACAAAGTAATAAACAAGATGAGATAGGATATTTAACCAGGAAGATTTGCACATATGTAAATTTGATAGAATTAATTTCCCACTTTTCTGTGTTCTCATAGCACTTGTTTTAACTGGATTATAATTTTGTAATATAATTATGTGTATTGTGTCTGTTTTCTTTGCTCTAAATTTCATGAAGGGCAGAGATCTTGCATTATTCATCTTTGTTCCCTAGTATCTGGTGGGCATGTAGTCAGTGCTCAGTATATATTTGTTAAATTGAATTAAAGCGAATTGTCTAAGAGATATTCTGAAAAGTTAGTGACCATTGTTCTGCCTCATGGTGAATATGCACATTTTTATGTTGATGCAACATTAGTTTTATGGTCATATTGAAGATTTCACTATACACTGCCTTTTCCAGATCATTTCTGAATATTGACATTACAGTAGTTACATTTTCACAGTTCTGTGAAATGGAATACACAGGCAGTAGAAATTGGGTGATGTGACTCTAGCTGTAACTCAGCTGGTCCACACACATCACTGCTTAGATTGCATAAAGTATAAATGTATTCCCAAAATTTTTGATCATTGTTTTGTGCTGATTAGAATTATAACACATATCTGAGCCTTAGTCTTTAATTAAAATATAACTGTTTTAAATTAGTATTTTATAATCTCAAGGCATTCTAGACAACACAAGTCAAATATAATATGTGCAGTCTAATATGACACATTCATGTGATGTTTGCCGCCTTCTGCTTAGTTTGAATCTGATAGTGTATTACATAGTCTAAAAACCTTTCTCTTTTTAAGGATATCAGTTTAAATTTTCTGCTTCAGAGCATCATAATGACATCTTCTTTTCTTTACAGTAGACCTTTACTGAGCTAATCAGTATGCATTTGTTAATCTGTCTAAGCCCAGTGGTTTTACAGATAATTTCCTTCACCAAGAGCACAAACCTAATTACCTTCTTGGGGGGTGAGGGGGTTATTTGCTTGTTTACCAGTTATCCCTGATTCATTTCTACTTAATCGGACAATGATAACATACTTTCTCAAGGTGAAATTAACGTTAATACTCTTTATGGTTACTCTCCTCTGCTGTTTTGATTCCTATGGATGCAACAGAAAATAATAGGAAGGCTTTAAGAGGTATTTTTCATGTCTTGGTTCCCTTTTCTGGATATGCAGAGAATTGTTGTCATAAAATTTTATATTCTGCTGATTGACCAACCATTAGATACATTTATGAGTAAGTAAAATTGCAAAGGAAAGAAAAAAGTGGAATTTCAAAAACGTAGCCCTTAAGCTATAGTTGCATGGTAGGCAATGCAGGAGCAGCTAAGAAATTGGTAGATGTGCATATCCCTGGTTGATAACAGGCTCAATGAGCTGGGCTTTTGCTGGCCTGTACTTGTTAGAATAGATAGTAATTGTCCATAAGGTCATTTTTCTGGCTTTTTTGTTTTCTTTGGCTTTTTTTTTTAACTGCATTTTAAAACTAAACAATAGTGAAGCAATAGGCTGAGAAGAGGGTTAGAATGTGCTAGAGAAATAAAAATACAGTATTAGAATATGAGTTTGTAGAACAGTTTGATAAATACTGCTCCCTTAACAAGAACCTATTGGTAATTGAAAAGCTTTATTGTCCAGCCTCATTTGAGAAACTACTGGGATGAAAGCAACTTTTTTCCCTAAAGAAAGTTATCACTATCATCATTATCATGAAAAATATTTATCAAATTTAGACTTATTCAGAAAATGTTCATGGAACAGATTTTTAGAGAACTTAAGGAAAAATATAACCAAAGAAAATCAGTAAAAAATTAACTTTTAAAAGACTTAGAGATCATTATACTTATGTATACAATATACTAGCAGTTTGGGCAGTGTAGTTGAATAATGCCATTTTATTCTTTCAATAATAAAATGGAAAAAAATATAATCCTGTGAGCTGAGGAAAAGACGTGCAGAGTTGCCTCTGTGGTGAGTCCAAGTCCAACTTCTGTCTGGTGGTCATTGGAAAATGTTGTGTGTACAGGGTTGCCCTCAGATGTGGGGTTGGCAATAATGGTGATGGCTAACATTCATTGAATGTGTTATGAAGAAGTGAACTAAGCTTTTAAGTACATCCTTGTAGTTTGGCGTGGATCACCTATTGAAGAAGTAGTTTCACAGGCTTGCCATGCTCTTTGTGAAGTACAGTATAGTACTTTCTTTGAAAAGATTTTAAAGCACAGAATTCCTGTATTATAGAATATACAAAGAAGTCTGTGGCTACTCTATATGCACTACTCATTGTTTTACCTATGTTGGCCATTATGTATACTTAAGATTTTTAGTCTTCCAGACTGAAGAGTCAAATCCTTCATCTGATTTTCCTCATCTCGATCTTTATTTTATATACCACATTTAAGGAATATTAATGGCTTTGGGCTACGACTCAAAGCCTATAGACATTCCCAGGGTTATTTTCTTGGTTTATTCTTATTATTACTAACACTTGTATAGTATTTTGCAGTTGGTAAAACTCCTCCATGGTCGTGGTTTCATTAGACTCTGGTAACTCCGTGTATTTTTCCATTAATCCAGTTTGAATTATGTACCTTAAGGCATTACCTTACCTTTGCTCATAATGAAGTATATCTCTTCTGTTATCTGCCACTGTTACTGTGTACTTAAACTTACACACCTTCCTGTATCTTAACCCCATATAAATTTAGTGTTTCCCTACCTGGAAGAATTTTGGGTCTTTTGAAAATCTGGAGGTTTCAATGTATAAATTTATACTGCCTCAGCTAGGTCGTCTCTCCCCGTGTTGAGATAAGAGCCTAGCACTGATTTTAGAAAACTCTGCTGCTTCCATTTCTACATCCAGAGAAGTACCCATCTCTTCCTGTCTTTTACTTAAATTTGAAGCACCTCTACCTCCAAGTCCTGTAGAAACTTAATTAAAAAAAAAAAATTTTATTGTGTTTTAGGTGAAAGTTTACACAACAATTTAGGTTCCCCTTTAGCAATTTTTATACAAATTGTTCCATGCCATTAGTTACAGTTTTTACAATGTGTCAGCATTCTCGTTGTTTCCATTCTGTTTGTTCTGTTTTCATTGATCTAGCATCCTTTCCGCTCCTTGCCTTCTCATCTTTGCTTTTGGGTAAATGTTGACTGTTTGGTCTCATATAGTTACTCACAGCTGATATTGTTTATTTTATAAGCCCATCTGTTATTTGACTGAAAGGTGACTATAGAAATAGCTTCAAATCAAGGTTGAAAGGTTATCTTAGGGTGATAGTCTCAGGGGTTCCTCTAGTCTCTATCGGTCCAGTAGGTCTGGCCATATTTAGGAATTTGAATTTTGTTCTACATTTTTCTCCCATTCTATCTGGGACCTTCTATTGTGTTGCTGGTCAGAACAGTCAGTAGTGGTAGCTGGGTACCATCTAGTTCTTCTGGTCTTAGGTCAGAGGAGGCTGGAGTTTCTGTGGGCTGTTAGTCCTGTGGACTAGTTTCCTCTTTGAGCCCTTGATTTCCTTCATTATCTTTTGCGCTATATGAGTAGAGACCAATAGTTGTATCTTAAATGGCTGTTTGCAAGCTTTTAAGACCCCAGATGCTAGTCACCAATCTAGGATGTAGAACGTTATCTTTGTGAACTATGTTATGCCAGTTGACTAAGTTATCCCCCAAGACTTTGGTCTCAAGCCTTCTAACCCAGTAAACCAATTCCACAAGTTGTTTGAATATGTCTAGGAAGCCTCCGTATCTGTGCCCCTATGTGGTTTGTTACATGTGTGAATATATATGTAACACACGCATATGCCTGAAGCTTAATTTTTTTTTCCTTTTTTTTTTTTATTGTACTTCAGGTGAAGGCTTACAGAACAAATAGTTTCTCATGAAACAGTAGTACACATATTGTTTTATGACATTGGTT